GATAGCTTCATTATGAAAATTCATGAAAAAGTAATTAAAAAAAAACCTAATCTAGTTACCAAATAAATATATTTAGCCTCTCTTCAGCAGGACACATGGCTGTGTTGCATCACTTATTCAGCAATTCTAATCAACATAATTTAACAGTGAAAGCTTTGTGTATTACATTTTTTAGTCACTCATTAAAAACATGATCATTGGAGACCAACATTTGCTTCTAATATGCTCTCTGGTGAATGTGACGGTTTGTTTCATTTGAGCAGAATAATTGGCCTATGGAGCTCCACAGCATTGCACAGTTGCATTAAGGCCATGTGACTAGTTTAATGTTCTATTTCCCTGTGATTATTTATCATGCTATAGTTCTAACAAAAAAAGGTGTGGAGAATTGTGAGAAAAGACTCTTATCTAAATCACCTATGTCACTGCCACATATAGAAGTCATAAATCAACTGTTTCCTTTACTATTTTCAGCTCTCCCTTGTGATTAGTGTTATTTTGACCAGCAGTGAGCAGTTTCTCTCTTCCTGGATTTTTTCAAAGCCTTCTTTAAAAGAAAATTAAAGCACAGTAACAGAATGTGAATTACAACACATTTTTTTCAAGTGACAACAACCGCCTTAAATATTTCAGAATTTCATTCCATGGAATGCAAATAAGGTGTCAAACTAAGCAATCTGTCTGTTTGTGAGAGGCTTGGCGGCTTCTGAAAAACAAATAAAAAACTGCCGGTTTTGCAAATTGGCAGCGGTGAAGACATGCAAGTGCAAGATACTGTAGGCAAGGTCAGCGTCACACTTTTCAAAGTGAGATGATTTCAATGAGAAGTAGACAGAAGGACTTTTGGATTAAAAATAACTAGAATCTTAAAAATCCTATAACAGACTAGGATCTTTGGGTAAATCTTACCATAAACATGTTAAGTATTCATAACCCTGGTAGATTTAAATCCAAGGTAATCTGTTCATTTTATTAACAATTTTTTTTTCTGAATAGAAATTTTGTTTTGTTTCATGACTTCAGTCTGTAGAAGTACTACTACAGATTGAAAAAAATACAATTTTTAAACTTTTTTATCTTATTTTTTCTGTGCAAAGGATTTTATTTAGCAGGGACAGACAAGAAGGGCAGATGGAAAAAGCTGAATAAAGGGCAACCGTGTGAAAAGCTCGGTTAGCTTCCATCTTCTCGTCAGCTGACAGAAGACAAGTAAACTGTGCTTTTTAACAGTGGTTTTCCTCTTGCCATGCTTTCATAAATAACAGACTTGTGGTGTGCACAACTAATAGTTTCCCTGTCAACTGTTTTTTCCACCTCAGCTATGGATCTCTGGAGCACAACTAAATTGAACATGCACCTTTTCCTAATTCCAGTGGAAACATAAAAAAACTGCTATGAGAAGAGTGTGATGGCTGCATCATTATACCTTTTGGGAGATCTCTTTCTTTTACCAATCAAACAAATACAGTTCTTGGTTGCTGAAAGAACCCCAATTATATTCTGTAAAAATAGGAAAATAATTATTAATAATATTAAATATGTTTCCATGCAGAATGTTTTTTAATACATGGATATACAGTAGATGAATGTCCTCTTTTGGCTCATTAGACTAGTACCAATTTAAGAACTGACCTTTAGTTTAAACATTACAAGGGACAATACTTTAGAAGTAATTTAAGTTTTTTTTTTTTATAAAAGAAGAAAAGATTTTGAATTACAAATTTGAACAGTTGTTAATCTAATTTCATGAACAGTAAATAATCTCTTGAATTTCAGTTTTTGACTGCTGGGATTGCCTTATTTTAATCTACACATGGATGTACCAGTTAAGGTTCTTCTATTACTCCAAACGATAAAAACTTTTTTACTAAAAAACAACTACATATCCTCTACTAACATAGTCTAACTACAATTAGCAGTTTGTATAGCCTTTAGTCCAACAACTTATTTTTTATACTAACTAGTTTGTATTGTCATCAATCAGTTGCGCACATGTTATTGTGGAAACATTAGAAAGTGTGTTGCAAAATTGCTGAGATACATACATGCATCGACCCTTTATTGTGTTGTTTTTCTTACAGTAGTTAGCAATTTTTATTTTTTTATTTTTATTGCATTCTTTTTGTATTTCTAGATTAAATTGATTGGGTTTCAAGTAAAAGAAAATTGAAAATTTAACATTATGACTATAGTATAGTATAATTCAGTAGTATTTTGGTTTACATGCATATAAAATGTTCATTCCTTTAATACATGAGCTGGTGAGAAATATCTTGTTAATGGCTTATATTGCTACAAGGTGCGGGCCTGTATTGTATCGTTTATTGTTATGTTAAATTTCTAGTCATGATAAAAATTTTGATTTATCGTCTAGACAATAAGTTTGAATTAGAATAAGATAAAAAAATGTAAACCTACTAGCGTTTGTGATTGAAGGGCTATGTTGCTGTGGCCTGCATTAACAGCTACAGTTACTAAAGAAGGATTTCAAAGAATTATCAAGTTCATTATTATTACAATAGTATGACAAAATATTGTAGTAAGATATTAACGTAACTGCTTCTACCAGTTTAGAATTAAATCATTTATAAATCTGACTATTTTTCAAATTTGGAACAAGAACGTACTAAAAGGGGTGACATGAAATTTCTGGATCTGATTTTTGCTGCAAATTAAACGCCCTATTAAATTGAATGACAGTTGAAGTGAGTCCAGAACAGATCAAAGTGCTGTCTGTTTTAAATATAGTATTATTCCAGTACCAAAATATGACATTTAAAGCTAAAGTGTGGCCTTCACTGCTAAATGCTATGATTGGTTTGGCCTTCTTTTATCGTCAAAACATATTCATGTTTTGCTATTGGTGATTCTAAATTAGCTGTAGATGTGCACCTGTATCTTTTTATTATACCTAACAACATCACAGGAGGACATGTGTTGTTTTTGCATAGAATTATTCAAGCTTAATTTATGAAGGGATGCATATTACGCTTTCAGAAAGCATGAGTTCAAAGGGAACCACATACACACCAATTGTTGACAGGTGGTTTGACAACAGATGTGATTTCAATTATTACAGCACTCAGATAATTGACAGATTGCTTTCCCGGTTTCGCATCCTGTCATGTTTACAAACTAAAACACACCTTCAACAAAAGAAAAAACAAGCATCTGTTGACTTATTGGGTTTTAATTTATAACAGAATATAGTTTAGAGACCTTGTGCTAATTGGATGCTCTGTTTTCTTCCCATACTATCATTTTTCTAGGCCCTTATTTATATCAATGTTTGGACTCTGATGTCAAACATAAGTGAATCATACAAGCTGGGTTGTCTTACAGCCAAGAATAAAGGCATTAATCGTTAGAATTTAATCTGAAATATGCTACAATTGGCTTTAGGTGCATTATTAATTAAATTTGAAACTCAATGAATCATTGCAGATGAGCCCCTATTTAGAAGGAAAAAAGTCGGCTCATGGAAGTTTTACAGATATGCTGAGAAATTGATTTTTTCTTAATCCTCAGTGAAAATCAATATATTTGGAGCTCGTTCCAACAGCAAATGTTTTTCTGTTCGCTCACAAAGCACCTTGTTTTTATAAATATTCTTACTATTCTCTAACATGAATGTCAAATGTCCATGGAAGGACTCTTTAGTCAGAGACAATATTTTCTAAAATCCAATCAGACTGTGCAGAAGCGATAACAAGCAGCGGCACGATTGGTGTGTTTTGGGGGTTATGTGTGACACTTGCGTGATGTCATCAGAGCATCCCGAGCATGAAAGTCTGTTTATAGGAGGGCAGATAAAAGTTCAATCTGAATCAAGCAAATTAGAACGGACACCTAAACCAAAGTGGAAGTGCATCTGCAGCGTCATGGCAAGTGGTGTTTGGATTGTACTGACAGTAGGGAAGGAGGCAGGAAAAGGATGCTTCCTATGGATAGTTAATTTAGCATAGGGACCTCCTGACAATCCTATCCACAAAAGAACTACAGTATGGTGTTGCTCACAATTGCTTGTGGCAAAGCCCACCTGACAGAGTTGAAAAAAATAATAAAACATTCTCACTTGTACTCTATGTGAGTCCATGAAACCTTCATATATTTGACATTACATTTTGAAGAGCTTCAGCCTTTTGCTGTATTTGTTTCTCTTATTTGTTTCTTTCAAACAAGCATAAAAAAAGGACAATGTGTTATGAAAAAGAACAATATTGGGTGTGCAGGTGGCGCAGTGGTTAGGGAGCATGACCCATGTAGGTATGTCTTCAGCAGGCGTAGAGCTAACAGAACTGCCAGCGTTGCGCGGCAAAGGCTCAAACATGTACGGCTGCTAACTTCATCTTGCTAACTGGTTAGCAAGATACTTCCAGACACTGGCCACAACCAAACTGCTTGGGAACCTTCTACCACAACAATCCCATCCCCTTGATAAACGACCAATCACATTCAGTGTATTAATTTGTGTAAAGTGGGGCACCACTTCGGATAATTCGGAACTGCAACACTTGGAACAGCTGCTTCCCCACGACTTTAAGTCCTGTAATGATGTTTGGAAGGCCAGATTCAGCACGTTGCTTCAGAGTTCCTTTTCCTTCAGCGTTCTTAATGTTGACCGCAAAAAAAACGAGAAAAAACAGGAGCCAGGGAGCTATAGTATGCACAACATGAAATCACTTTTTGTTTTTGTTAGGAGACATTTAAGTAACAAACCATAAAAAAACTGACTGTGAAATGTATGATTTGAGTAATATTATAGAAATATATTATAATATTATAGAAAAGTCTTTCTCTTAGTGTTAAATATAACCAAAAAACTCTCCAGCAAAAGAATTTGCAACAGATTTCCAAAATATTAAAGAATCTCAAAGATACTCAATAAAAAAACCTGGTGAAATTTGACTTTTTTATCTGACCTAGTTTAAAGGGGGCAAAATACATCAATATGAACTGTTGCATTTAAAAAGCACATTTTTCTGTTGTTGTGTACTTACAATGTGCAGCTGGAGATAGTCTCCGAGACCGTGGGTGCTTTCCACACGCACTAAAATGGCCTCCTTCTGCTGAGTGCTGAAGCCCACGGCTAACCTGTCGGCGCGTGTGCTTGGCCTTTCGTTGGGAGCCCAGGTGAAGGTAATAAGAGCCCCTCCTTTCCCAAAGATGTACGTGGTCCCAGCTAGGAGCAAAAAAGAAGCAATGGGACAACTGTCATCATTTCCTGCCTGCAATAAGTGATAGATTTTGTGAAGCACAAACATTCTGACTTTAGACAATTTGTTCTTTTCAGTTTTTAAGCACCAACCCTTGTATGAAGATGAAATTATGATTTCTCCTCTCACCCTCTTTTAACAAGGCCACCTCCGTCCACAGCAGTGCTCTTCACTTTTTATGTAATTGAAAAAAAAAAAAAAAAAAACAGGGCAAAAGCTGACTGAAAGTGATGTAATGAAACTAAATTCCCTTATTTTTATCTATTTCTTTCTTAAAAAAAAAAAAAAAAAAAAAAAAAAAATATATATATATATATATATTAGAGGATGCAATATGTTTTTTTGCAGGCATTGGCTAGCATTCAGCAGCTGAATAATGCATACAAATCCTTGTTTCTAATATCATATGCATTAGGTTTTATGACTCACACAGAGCAAAAGCAAATATTAAAACATTGCAAATATTATTATGCAAATATTCAGTCCAAGAGACTGAAAATCTAATATTTTGCTTTTAATTACCTTTTTACATTTTCTATTTCAAACGGAACTGAAGATCTTTTTATGCATTTTTAATTTTCTAAACGTGATTAAAAACGTGATTTTCTTTTTCATTTAACTTTTCTTTTTAATCTTGCATGAATCTTATACATGCATAGTGCTGCATACCTTTCTATGTGTTGGTGGTACAGGAAGACTCTGTACCACACTAAATGAGTTCTCTGTAAATATTATTAACTTATTTACACTGTAGAATGCTGAGGTTAACATTAGATAAGCTGGATTGCTGCTGATGTTTAAAGGTTGTTTAAAAAACATTTTTTTTTAAAGCGCTGCAGCTCTGAAACACTATGTGTAACGCACACATTTGCCTAAGCCTCAGAAACGTAGACGTAGAAAGATTTTTTTTTTCATTTTGTGTACACGAATGTAAATAAAAATAAATTATGTTAAGAACAGCTCTCCAAACAATTTCATTTTTTTAAAGTGCAGCCTTGAAAACAGTAAAAATACATAAAAACAGTTCAATCTGAAAAACTCACACAGAGAGAAAAGATAATTAGAAGAATTTATTGATAAGAAAGTATAGTCTTTGGCGCTCAGACCTCGGCAGGAACATTCATGCTGAATTATGCTTAACATGCATGAGTAGATGAATGTGAATAGGGATGTTCCCCCCGGCCTGAAACTGGTGGTGGTTTAATCCGAGCTGGTTGACAAGGTGATCTGCTGTGCAGAATTGTGGGACTAGAAGACTGAGGGAGCTGACGCCGGGGCTTCACTCAGACTCGGGATATAGAGGTCCTGCTTGGTGATGCAGGTACCGTGAACTGTCCATGATGAGCAAGCATGAAGCGACAGTGGAGAGGAAAAACTCCCCTTTGGGAAGAAACCTCTGGCAGAACCGGGCTCAACATGGTGGTCTTCTGCCGGACCAATGCGATGAGACGAGGGATGGTGACAACTGGGATTAATACTCTCTGATGAGGTTGAGGTGAAGTCGTGTCATGGAGGACGATTCAGCTGCGATGGCGGAGAAGGGGATGGAGGTGGGTGAATGTCGTCTGAATCAAAATCCGACATGGCGATTGCAGGATAGCGGGCTGGGATGAGGATTTGAAAGAGTTTATAAAGTGGAAGCAGGACGCTGATTGGGCTTCGTGGTGGAGTAGTTCGAAGCTGATTGGCTCGCTTCAGAGACGGATCAGCTTCTGATTGATGGAGGTAAGTCAGAGTTTCTTCAATTGAACTTCCGCTAGAGCTTCATTACTATAAACTTATGACTGTTTATTTACAGTTTTAATAATTAATAAAATATAATAAATAAATAATTAATTAAATAATTAAATAATAATTAATAAAATATAATAAATATAATAAAATACAATAACCCATTTTACAAAACATTCAGCAGTCTAATTATAAAAAAGGAACATTAACATTATGGCTATAACATTATTGCTTGTTTATAACATTTAACATAATTATAATTTAAAACATATAATATAATTGTCTTGTTTCATGAAGAAACAAGGCAACAGCTACTGGGAAATCTCAGAAATGCCCCAAAATGAACAAAACTTGAGCTAAAGCTTCACCATCGACTCACTCTACTCACTTCCGAATGCTCTATGCCTGAAACCGAAGGTTAAACAATGGATTTAACTTTTTTACAGATCACTCAGATAAGTTTTTTTTACCCTTAGCATTTATTGGAAGTGAGTAAATCCTTAAATTTGATGAAAGAACAAACAAGGGAATTAATAAATACACAGATAAATAAAACAAGACTTTATGTAACAGCAAACGTAACCTGTTTTAAGGGAGCAGAGGACAGCTTGTTACGAACTGAAAGGCACTACTCAGCGCAGGAGTGGATTGAAAGCTGAGCTCATAACTTAAAATCAAAGCAGGATTTGATTTCCACAGAATATACTGTATATCTTTACTTTCACACCTGTCATTTCCTTTTTTATGTGTGTTTTAACATCACAAGAAAAAAGCAGGAAAAATTGTGAAATTAGCCTTAGGAAAGATTTACAGATGCATAACAAAAAAATTAACTCTCACACACAGGTAAATAAAAGAGGATTTTTTTTTCAATGTGTTGCATAAATTTAGGCCTGATTGAAGTCCTTCCACCTGCTCCTTCAGAATATGGCAGGTGCTTGGCAAAGTGGTGCTTTCTGCCTGAACTTTTTACCACTTAACTTATTCCACTCCACTCACAACCATTCCTTTCTCCTTGAGATAAATGAAGGAACGTTGATGCTAATTTTGTCATTTACAAGTCTAACTCAAATTGCAGAAATACCTGCGCACGTCTGCACAGGCATGTGTTTAAATCCTTTCACTTGTAAATCAGACACCTCTAAGCGGCGTGAAGTGATGTATTGTGCAGGTTTTTCGTTAAACCTGCTGAAAATTGCTAAATGCTGTATTTCAATATGCAAAGAGAAGTAATCCATTTATTCAACCCATGCACATGCAAATCCTGCTAGTTATGTGGTGACTCTAGAGGAGCCAGATAATATCCTGTGGTGCAGCTGTCATACAGCTGTGACCAAAAAGAAGCAGCCACATTTGAAAAAACACCAGTTTATGTTTAAAGCACTGTTGTCACACCTGAAAAGTGTAGCATGTGTGCCTGCTATTATTCAGTGAAGCAGAGGAAACTTGAGGAAAAACACAGTTGCCCCATTTTCAACAACCTGCAAAGGCTCTTCTGCTGAGTACATAAAATGTCTTCTATTGAGGAAAACAAACTGCTTGCACAAAGCTAAAGAGTGTCACAAAACACTCCGTCTGAGGTTAAAAAAAAAACCTTGTGCTGATTTAAATGTTATTTCAAAGGGGGGGTTTTCAAACAGTGATTGTTTCCAAGTTAATTATTTCTTATTATGTTAATCTTAATTAATGTCTGGACTTTGCAGTCAAATGAGTCAGTGACATTAGTCACTTCAAAGAGGCTCATTCAGAGGTTTTCAGTTTTTTTCCTTTCAATGAATCGTATCTATCTCTGGCCTCTAAGTTAGCCCGCCTTTTCTTCTCAATTAAATTACTAAACAGAACCATTGATTTGGCTTTAGCCACAACTTTTGCGGCCTAAATTTAGAACTGTTTCTAAGTACCCCAATAACAGTTGCATTTGTCATTGAAACCCTACATTACTTGTATCTAACACTCACTTTTATAAATGCATTAAAGTCTATATAAATCAAGATGGATCATTTAAAATGGAAGAAACCTCATAAATATCTGTGAATGTCAATGAAGGGTGGAGGTTGGTTGAGGACCCAAATGCATAGATTAGTCCTTGCAGGTTTAATAAAATCAAAAAGGCAACAGAAACAAAATCAGGAAACCAAAAACCAGGAGACATCAGGGGAAAACACACATGGGGAGCCAAGTAACGACAAGAAAACAGCAAAGAGTAACTGAACAGAAGGTGTATATATGGGAGAGAGAAACAATGGGAGGACTAATCATCTGGTAGGTGTAGACAGAAGTAACCAGAAGGAGTTAAGGGGAAAGTGACCGGCACAAGGGTCAACAGAGAGCAACTCAAAACATACAATACTGCTTAAATATAACACAAAATGGAAAAGAAAACAACAAAACACAGAATAACATAAATCAAAGTGGAACTGAAAAGTTAAAAAGAAACTTAAAACTTAGAAGGGGAGAACCATAACAGTGAATCTGAATTATGTTTAAAGACAACTGTAAAACAGGGCTATGGGCTCTAGGACAATCTGAGCATTAAAATCTGCCACAAAATAGTCGATTTGTTTATTTCCTTACATAAAATGTAAAACTCTGTAAAAACAGATTTTTGGGGGGTTAAATCGGATGATCTGTCTTAAAGGAGCAGGGGGTTTAAGCCTGACTAAATCTTTGGATCCAGTTTCTACCCCTATGCAAAATTAAAAGTAAAGTATGGTTAACCTAAAAAGAGATATAAATCCATAGTCCAGATATTTTCCCTTTTTACCCCTTGAAATATTCCTTTAATGTTTCCGGTTCAAGATTGGCACCCAACAAGGAATGCATCAGTCATAGTTAATGTCTTAATACATCTCTGGTTGGTCACTGAAAGCCCTGAATCCAGCTGCAGTCTGCACCATGTGATGCTCCCCTAAAACTCTCAAATAGCCTTTATAATCCACTCAAGGCTGCAGTGACTCATCAGAATCAAATTTAATGGTCAGGTTGGTTTACAAAATAAAATAATTGAACTTAAGCTTTCAATTATTTACATCATAATTAGTCACTTAAAAACAATAACGACGAGATGTGGAGAGTATTCTTAATAAGGGACAAAAAGCAAAAGTTTAAAAAAGGGTAAAAGCAGTATTTACATAAGTGTGAATATGCAGCACATGTTTTTATTTTTTTTTAAATATGAATTTTGTCTACTGAAGCAGCTGCAGTTCAACGCTTGTAAATTTCCCCCAACCTCTTT